CTAAAGCCTTCAAACACACACTTAAGGATTAGAGAAGACAAAAGCCAGGAAGAGTGTTTCCCTCAGTAGAGAACACAAAAAGCCATGCAAACTAGCACATGAGGAAAGCTAAAAATCTATGAATGTCATACTTAAGATCAGTATTAGTTGCAAGTCTGGCTAAGTTGGTAAAAGCAGTCTCCATATCTATTCAATTTGCAATGACTGGGATAGTGTGGAGTTCTGTTTGTTTATTTGACTGTTTTTTCCCCTTTGGGGTTCAAGGAAATCTGCCTAAGGTGTGTGTAGAAGCACAGCTGTGGATGAATGCCTATATGTTAGATCTAGTTGTTTTACAGTATTCTTTTACTTACTGATCATTTGTCTTTATTTTCTATGTAACCGAAAGTGGTATATTAAAGTCTCCAAATATCTATTGCTGTGAGACATTTCCTTCTCAGTCTTCAATTCTGTGTTTGCTTCATATATTTTGGACTGTAGTGTTAAATGTGCGTGTGTGTGTATATATATATATATAAAATTTTTTTAACTGTTATATCACCTGGACACATTGGCTCTTTTATTATTAAATAATGTCTGTAGTTTTCTCCTTTAGCACTTTTTGCCTTACAAAGTTCTACAACAATATTTGAAGGCTTTAATATATCAGTTTCAATTAATACATTCTTATTGAAAAAGATCAATTAAAAAAAACAAAGGATGTAAAATTTCTACAACAATATTTGGAGCTTTTAATACATCACTTTCAATTAATACATTCTTATTGGAAAAGATACGTTTAAAAAATAAAGGGCATAATACTATAAACCAATAGGATTTAACAGACACATGGAGAGCATACTGTGCAATCCCAGAATAATATACATATAGTCTTCTCCAGTGCACAAACAATAAACGCTGGAACCCCCATGCACTGCTGGTGAGAAAATGGTACAACCACTACGAAAGGCAGTCTGGTACTTCCACAGAAGACCGAAAACAGGAATACCATTTGACCCAGCTATCTCACTACTTTGAATATACTCCAAAGAAAACAGATAAGACAAAAACAGATGCTTGTATATCCGTAGTCACTGGAGAATGATTCCCAATAGCAAAGAGATGTAAGCCGCTTAACTGCCTATCAACAAATGAATTGATAGAGAAATCATGATACATTTACACAATGGAATTATTATGGAGCACTGAAAAACAATGAAGAATCATGTAACACTACACAACATGATGAGTCTAAAAGACATTATGCTGAGTGGAATAATTCAGTCACAAAAAGATAAATATTGTTTAATACTACTGTTATAAAAATAGGATGAATACTGGTAGAGGAGGATGGGGAGAGCAGGAGAACAGATAATAAACACAAACAGGGTATTGGAATAGCTGAAAGAAAGGTTGATCTAAAAGGAATGAATGATTAGATATTATGTATATAATGCAATTAACAACTTGGAACAGGGCATGCATTATTGGAATTGAAGAGGGAGAGGGGAAGAATCTGTATAAATGAATGAATAAAAAACCAATTTCTCTGTAAACTTTCATTCAAATCACAGATGTTGTTGTTGTTGTTGTTACGTGCTGTCGAGTCGCTTGCAACTCATAGCGACCCTATGTACAACAGCCCTAAACTCCGCTCTGTCCTGTGCCAATCGCACCATCTCCAATAGATACACCCATCCCAATTGCCCCAGTCACTGAATCAATCCACCTCATAGAGGGCCTTCCCCTCCTGCGCTGTCCCTCCACCATCCACCAAGCATGATGTCCCTCTCCAAGGACCGGTCCCTCCTTACAACATGTCCAAGGTATGTTAGATAGAGCCTTTAAATTAAAAAAAAATCTTTAACCACAACTGACAGAAACTAGTAATGCACAAAAAAAAGGTTCACAAAAACTCTGAAATTAACTTTTATGAAAGGAATAGAGCAAAGGAAAAATCATAAGGAAAATAGAAAAGACTTAGAGATGAATAAAAATAAAGCCTATCAAAACTTATGGGATATAGCCACAGGCACTGCTCAGGAAAAAAAATTCACAGTGGCAAACAGCTACTAAAAAGTAAGAAAGATCTTACACTTAATAACTATTCCTTGAGAAACCAGAAAATAAAATGTAAACCACATTCAAGGCTGCAAACAACAAGAAAATAATAAATATTCAAACAAGTAAATGAAAAACAATGAAACAGAAAGTTGGTTCACTGAAAATATCAATAAAATTGATAATACTTTAGCTAGATAATGTGGTGACATTACTACTAGCCAAAAAGAGAGAAAAAGGAATATAAGAGAATATTATGAACAAACTAGATAGTATACATGAAACCCCAGAACATACTAAATTGTGCTTATGCAAAACCTTTACCTAGACCAAGAAGCAGCTGTCCAAACAGAACAAGGAAATACCGCATGGTTAAAAATCAGAGAAGGTGTCCCTCAGGGCTGTATCTTTTCTCCACATCTAATCTGTATGCTGAGCAAATACTTTGAGAACCTGGACTATATGAAAAATAATGTCATCAAGACTGGAGGAAGTCTCATCAATAACCTTTGTTAATACAGATGACTTGACTATGCACAAAAAAACAAAAACAACCTAGCTTGGAGAAAGTGAAGACTGGAAACACTCATTGAAGAAGATGGCTATTATCTCAACAGAGAGAAAACAAACATCCTCACAACTGGACCAATAGGCAATATCATGACAGATGGAGAAAAACTGAAGTTGTTGATGATTTAATTTTAGTGGATCCACAATCAACATTCAAGTATCACGTGATAGGTGCATACAAACAAAAAAGCTTCCACTATTGGTTAAGGTTACATCTAATGACTACAAAGTGAAAGGTCTCAGTCAAGGGCTACAATTACATGTATAACCATTATCTATAAACAGTAAAAACAAAACACAAGTTTGCACTGAGTCAGCCCTGACCACAGGAACTTCATGTGGTCAAAACAGAATTCTTCTTCATAGGAACTTCAATGGCTGATTTATTAGAAGTAAATTGTTTTCATCCACATGGCTCTGGGTGGACTTGAATGTCCAATCTTTGATTTAACAATAAATGCAACTGTTTGTACCACTCATCTTAAAAAACCAAACCAAACACTTTACCACCAGGGCTTCTGATCTATAATAAAAAATAAAACCCAAATGCACTGCATAGTGACTCTCCACAGATTTCCAAAGCTGTAAATATTTATGGGAAGAGATTGCTTCATATATTCACACTGGCTGGTAGGTTCAAATCAATGACTTTGTGGTTAATAGCCAAACATGTTAACAGACTAACCTATCAGACTATAGCCATTCTTAACTAATATCGTGCTACTCAGAAAGACCACTTGTATATTGAGAAAAGATAACAGAAACTAAAAGACTCCTTGCCCAGCTACTATAAATGTCTAAGACTTGTTTTCAAATGTTCTGCTAGGAATTAGTCTCATCATTTTAGAATTACACTGTGTATGTCTTACTAATTCTTCAGCTCTTTCATCAAATTCCCCAGTTCTACACATCATCCCTAGGAAAAGATTTGAAGTTCAACTTGCTGATTTTCAGATGCAATTCTCTATAAAAACAAACAACTAAAAAAGCATTATCACGGTCTCTTCTAATTCTCTACTCCCAAAAGCCTCTCTGTCTCATCTCTGTACTATTTATTCACTTTCTATACTCAAAGAGCGTTTAACTTAATCTCATCATTCACTCATTATATTCCTGCTTCCTATCATTCTAGGGAATACTGGTGGTCTGGTGGTAAGAAATAGTGCTGCAATCTCAAAGAAATAAGGTTTGAATTCACCAGCTGCTCTGCAGGAGAAAGACAGGCAATCTCCTCCCATGCAACTGACTGCCTCTGAAAACCCACTGGAGTTATGGAGGTATGAGTCGATGGCACACAACACTGTCATCTTTAAGATGATTCTTCCTCAGTATGCAGAATAGGCCAGAATATACCTTCTAGACAGTGTTAGCTCAGAATAAGATGGAGTAAGTTTAGCTTATTAATAAGACTACCCAGCATGACTCATTGAGTGGTTCTGATAACTAAATGACATAATTTAGCGGATAATTCCCAAGTTACGTACATAGGAAACTGCGAGAAGTTCAAGCAGTTTTTAGAAGAGGCTGTGGCACCAGGGATACCACTGCTGATGTCAGATGGATCCTGGTTGAAAGTAAAAAAATATCAGAAGAACGTCTATGCAAAGGCATTTGACTGTGCGGATCATGACAAGTTGTGGCTGACATTGAGAAGAATGGGAATCCCAGAACACTTAACTGTGCTCACGTGAAACCTATACCTGGACCAGGAGGCTGTTGTGCGAACAGAGCAGGGGAGGTCTGCATGTTTAGAATTGGGAGGGGAGTGCGCCAGGGTTGTATTCTCTCTACATACTGATTTAATCTGTATGCTGAACACATTATTCGAGGGTTGCTGTGAGTCATAATTGACACCATCTAACAACAACAATAATCCAAGCTACCAAACCTTCTTTCAAAGAACATTCTAAACAACTCCCACTTTCTGAAATCACCCAGGAGCCCTAAAAGCAGGAATACATGCATTGAGTTTAGTCCCTGTTGTCACTGCTGGTTTACTGGCTTACCAGCAGCAATAGTGCGGTCTGTCCAATTCTCAGAAACTCAAACACCTAGAACTCTATCCCATTTGTATCTGCAAACTACAGTAAGTCAAAACAGAAATACAAATATATTTTAAAAAAAAAAGATATGTAAGTAAGAGTAGCATTCTACTTTACTTACAAACAAAAAGGACTCTCGAATTTTAGTGTAATAATATTTACCTTCTGCATAAACAAATTTAGAAAATTGTAATTTCAAATCCAAATTAAACTTATTATGGAAAAATATTGTAGGCCTGCAGTCAGGTTCAATATATTCTTTTCAAGTTAGTAATTCAAGTCAGCTTTCTATTTAATGAAAAATGAGGTTCAAGTAAGACTCTACCTATACTAGAGGAAGGAAAGTACCTGTGAGTTTGATCTTGGAGAGTCGAGCCAAAATTCCTGGCAAGTCATCCAGCTGCAGCTTCATCTCTTTCCATTGTCTTTCATCTTTTGTCTCTTTTTCCACTTCTACTGAGCCTTCAACTATTGAGGAAGAGTCTAGTTCTATCAACTCCTTTCCACTTGGTTTTCTGGACAAAGATAGGCTAGGCGGTGAAAGAGATCTCATCTCAAATATTTCTTTGGCTTCATTTGAAGACGTTTTTTCAAGAAAATGTGTCACTGGTTCTGGCTTAGGCTTTACTTGCTGGTTGAGGCTTCTGTTCAGTTGTGTGACATACTAAATAAGAAAGCAAATATTAATCTAAAACTTTGGTTCAAAACACTCTTTAAATATTCGGCTAGTAGCACCTTTTTTTATCAGTTCAACTTTTATGGAACTTGAAAGATTTTCCTTAATTTTAACATACATATATGTTAAAATTTATCATATATGTATGTAGTATTTTTATCAAAATTTCTATAACAAGAAGAGATGGGAAGAATGTGCATAATCTTGAAGTAATGGTTTCTTAATTCTGTATTTTACAAAATCATAAGAATTGTGCAACAATGAATGAATGGAAACCCAACTTCCTTACAAACTTACAATAAAATCTCAATTAAAAAAAGAATTTAAGTTCCTTGAACAATAAACTGGTTGCTTACTTATTTCCCCCAGAATTTCTAACGTAACACTATAAACTGGACATTTAATACTCCAAATACAGGGAAAGATTTCTGTAATCAAAAACTCGGAGTACAGTAGTAGAGTATCAAAGAACATAGGTATTTATAGTTAGACAATCTTTACTGTTGCACAGTAAATGTTAGTGGGTAAACAGTCAGTGGCTCAAATCCACCAGGTGCTCCCCAGGAGAAAGACAGATAGTCTCCTCTCATAAAAGTTATAACCTCAGAAGTCTGGTGAAGGGTCATTATGAGTCACACTCATAATGAGGAGTTTTGGTTTACAAACATCAGTGAGGTACTTTATAGTTTCAAAAGCACTTTATAATTCACGTTGCACACACACACACACACACATCTCACTTAATCTTCTCAACAGCCATTTCAAAAGATAGATCATTATATTATGTATCTTACAGGTGAGTAAATCAAGGCTCAGAAACTAACTGGTATAGATAATAGTCAACAGTTAAGATCGACCATGATAACTAGTCAAGTAACTTATTCACACATCAAAAAAGTTTGAAATAGCAAGAGTCTTAGATAAAAGAAAAAACAACTAACCCTCAAAAACCATGGAGTTGATTATGACCACACAGAGTGGAGAAGAACCACCCCACAGGATTTCAAAGTCTGTACATCATTATGGAAGCCAACTACCATATCGTTCTTTCATGGTGAATTAAAACCATGGCTTTTTCAGTTAGCATCATTTAACCGCTGGGCCACCAGCATTCCTTTTTTGCTAACTACAAACTCGTTAATAAAGGAAAAATAATCCAGGGTCCTATTTACATGAAAAAAGAACAGACATATTTTGGCCTTCAACTTTAAAAGACTACATATATCAAGAAATTTTAAAATTGTTATAAAAAAATTACTTAAGTTACAAAGAGAAGAGCAGTATGTTAAACAGTGCATTAGATCATGAACTTCTGTTCTTTCACGCTTGCCTAATGAGTTATGCACCATCACTCTTACTCCACAATAGTTCTTTGTGAAGACAGATACCAAGTGTCCTCATTGGCACCCCCAATGAGAGGAGGTAATCTAAATTAAGGGTCCACACAAGGACTGAGATGCATTATCTATGCCTCCTAAGAAATGCCAAACAAATTACAAAACTCCATTGTTTCCTGTGTACTCAGAAATACTTGTGTTAAAATTAGGCTTTTTAAATGTATTGCTGATGCAAGAAAATCAATCATAAAGGATACTGCTAAAGCAATGCCTTCTGCACGATTCATAAATCCACAGAATTCTTCATCATTTACAAAGCTGCATCCTGATGGTTCCGTTTTTTCCAACTTTACCCTAGCTCAAACAATGCAGAAGCTTTTAATTTTTCCCTAATCCATAAATTCAGTTATCATCTTTGGAGCCTCCAATGCCAGAATTATTGTGGTTTCAAGTATAACTACTAAAAATAAGTGATAAAGTTTTGAATAGACCTAAGAGGACACTAATAAAAGTTCTTTCCCAATAGTTCTTAAAATTTTTTTTATAATAGGAACTTCGAAATCCCCTCACACAGAGAGTAATTAAAGGCAGACAGATTGGCAGAGTAAAAGTGGTCATCTAGACATACCATGCGCTTAAGGAAGTTAAAGTGCTGAAATGTAATACACTGCTTATTGACATTCCTGAAAAGCCTCATAAATTTGTGAGGGGATTCCTGTGCAGCTCTTCTTTCCAGGTACCAGGCACATCTTCCTACCCGACCTACAAAACAAGACAGAAGTGATAAAATCTATAAGAGATGGCTGCGTCTCATCAAATGGAAGACCAGCCTACCAGGATCATCATGTTTTGATTTAAACAATGAAATGATCACACTATAAATAAGATCTTTTAAAAGGAAAAATAAAGCAAGTCACTACAGAAAAAAAAGTATCATTTTTGCCATTGAAAAAGAGGAAGCTTAAAAGTGCATTTCAATTTAATATTTTATCATGTAGCATAAGACAATGAAAAACAGAAGGAAGTAGTAATTCTCAATAAAGTGTAATTCCATCAATTTAGTTAGGAGTAAGCTAGGTTTTATTATATAAAAAAATTGAGCTTTTATTCATTCTCCGGTTTCAGTTCACTCCTCCGACTGTATTACACTACAGACTATTTTGAAACGTCTCTCTTGTCTTCCATGACACTAAATCTTTCTGGTTCTCCTAGGTGCAGCCTCAAGACTTCATACTCTGACAGTAACTTCACTAACTCTCTCTGCCACTTAAAGGAACTTGTGCCCTTATGGCTCTGGACCCTTCTGTCTCTTTGAAATGTAATTATAGGGCAATTTCTAATTTTAACCCATCTCTAGAGAGTCATATGCTTTCCTAATAATTCATAAATGGGTTTCAGTATCCATTTTTTTTAAAAATTTCTTTTAAAAATATGGGCCACTTCACAGATTTGTGTGTTGTCCTTGCCCAGGAGGTAAGGATCTTCTCTGTATCGTTCCAATTTTAGTGTATGCGCTGCCAAAGTGAGCAATACAGTATCGGGTGGTTTTTCTTTTTCTTTAAATGCTTAATTGTGACAAATGTATATGTGACAAAACAGCTGACTTTTCAACATTTTTCACTACTGCAATTCAGTAACATTAATTAGGTGCATCATGTTAACTCTGTTTCTAAATTTTTCATCACCTTCAACAGAAAGTCGACATTCTCTAAGAAATGACTCTGATTCCTCCTTGCTCTTGCCCAGGGTATTCTCCCTGAATTAGTCTCTGTCTGAGCACTTGTCTGTTCTAAATATTTCTAGACAGTTCATGTAAGTGGAACCACATTTGCCCTTTTGTGAATGCTTTCACTCAGCATGTTTTAAAGGTCCAACCACATTATAATATGCATAGGGCTTCATTTCTCTTTATGGCCAGGTCAAATTATTTGTTTTGGAATCTTACAGATCAGAAAAGACCTGACAAAAAAGTATTACAGGAAAGAAGGAATTCCATCTATGGTATGGAAGTATATTTACTCATATTTTTTGGTTGATGCAAACAATAATCTTTCAGCTACTATGAATGATGCTGTTAGACTATATCGTTAAGACTTGTATTTTCCACTCTCATTTCTGTTCCTGACTAGAACTAAAACCTTTAAGTAGAGCTACCTATTTAAGACTTTACATTTTTAATTCCTCCTTCTGCATCTCCTAGTAACCATCAAGTCTTGTCAACTTGGAAATGTAGGTAAAAATCTATCCACTTCTTTCCAATCCAACTGAAATAGATCCTTTACAGCCTTAGAGTTGAACTATCAGAGTAGCAGTAATACTCATGTAAGAATAATTACTATCATCAGTAATTTTCCTTCCTCTCCAAATCTAGTTCCATAAAGCCAATCTTTTTGTTCCCAAAGACAAGTGTGTATCATATTACATATGTGTCCAAACATGTACAAACACCACACAACGTCATATATGCTTCAATAAAACCACCTTACAATTTCCTTTTGTTAACTTCTGTTTATGTTGTTCCCTTGATTGCAATGCCATGCCTTCACTCTACCAAATTTTAAAAAATGTTTCTTCACCAAAGAAGACATTCAGATGGCCAACAAGCACATGAAGAAATGTTCAAAATCCCTAGCTCTAAGAGAGATGCAAATCAAAACAACCATGAGATATCATCTCACCCCAGTCAGAATAGCAAAATTTAATAGAACAGCAAGCAACAAATGCTGGCGAGGTTGTGGAGAAACTGGAACCCTTATTCACTGTTGGTGGGAGTATAAAATGGTGCAACCACTGTGGAAAGCAGTATGGCGCTTTCTCAAAAAGTTGCAAATAGAGATACCATTTGACCCCGCAATACCACTACTGGGAATATACCCAGAAGAGACCATAACTGAGATCCAAGCAGATATATGCACACCCATGTTTACTGCAGCTCTGTTCACAACAGCAAGGAGTTGGAAACAACCCAGGTGCCCATCAACAAACGAATGGGCAGAGAAGCTGTGGTATATTCTGGAATACTATGCTGCACTGAAAAACAAGGAACTCATTCAATATTATTCAAAATGGGTGAGCCTGGAGGACATTATGCTGAGTGAAATATCTCAATCGCAAAAGGACAAATATTGAATGGTGCCACTGCTGTAAAATGGGACTGATATCAGGGTGGGGGTAAGACTGAGAAAAACTGGATAAATTGTGTCTACTGCACTGAAACAGATGAGGGAATGAATAATTTAAAAGCGATGTATGATAGGGCATTATGGTTATCACAAGAGTCCACAATTAAGGTTGCATAATGGAATGTACTTGGGGCGGTGGGAAGGGTGCGGGGGGATTGTGTACCAGGGACGGAGTCTTTCTTTTACTTTTGAAAGAAAGGAGCAAACTGGGGGGCGGGGAGAGAAGTGCAGCAATGAATGAATGGAAATCCAAATTCTCTGTAAATGTTCATTAAAATTATTAAAAAAAATAAAAATAAAAAAAATGTTTCAAATAATCTATCAAATTATGCCATTTTTTCTAGTACATCTCAGTATTTCCTACTACTTACCTTTGACAAAACTAGTAGGAGATTGCTTTTCATATAATAAAAAACAATGTTTATGGAATGATATTAGGCAAAGGAAAATCTAGTTCAACTGCAGAGGAGAAAAGAGGTAGCTCACTGATCTGCTGTCAAGGACCTCTCTAAATTTCTAAAAAGTAACAAAATCACTTTAAAGACTAAGGTGCCTGACCTAAGCTTCACCATTTTAAATTGCTTCCTACGCTCCGTCTAACATACTTTGGACTTGTTGTAAGGAACATCATGCTTGGGAGGGTGGAGGGACAGCGCAGGAGAGGAAGGCCCTCTATGAGGTGGACTGATTCAGTGACTGGGGTAACTGGAGTGGGTGTGTCAGAGACAGTGCGACTGGCATAGGACATAGCAGAGTTTAGGGCTGTTGTACATTTGGTCGCTATGAGTCACAAGTGACTCGCCGGCACATAACAACAACAACAACAACAACATGCATTTAGGAAGCTCTGGTGGTTTAATGATAAAGAATTGTGCTGCCAACACTAAAGTTAGCCGTTCAAATCCTCTAGCCACTCTGCAGGAAAAAGATGAGCAACCTCTTCTTGTGTAACTCATGCCTCTGAAAACCTGCTGGAGGGTCAGCTATGGGTTGATTCTGGCTAGACAGCACACAACAGCAACAACGTATGCATGTGAAAACTGGACAAAAAAACGAGGAAGACGGAAAAAAGAATCACCTGTGGTGCTTGTGAAGAATACTGAGTATACCATGGATTGCCAAAAGAACAAAGTGCTCACATGGACATGCAACCAACAAATCAATCTGTTTTAATGGAAGTGCAACCAAAGTGCTCCTTCAAGGCAAGAATGGTGAAATTGTATCTCACTTACTTTGGACATATTTTCAGGAGGAATCAGTCCTTAGAAAGAGAAACTATACTCGATCAGCCAAGGAGAGGAAGAACCTCAACAAGATAGACTGACAATGACAACAATAAAGAGCATGAGCAGGACAGAGATTTCAAGGATGTATAGGATAGAGCAAGGTTCAGATATGCTGCTATGAGTCACTATCGACTCAGTATCACCTAACAACAACAACAACAGCACAACCAAGGTCGGATTTTTGAATATACCATGGATTGCCAAAAGAACAAAGTGCTTACGTGGACATGCAACCAACAAATCAATCTGTTTTAATGGAAGTGCAACCAAAGTGCTCCTTCGAGGCAAGAATGGTGAAATTGTATCTCACTTACTTTGGACATATTTTCAGGAGGAACCAGTCCTTAGAGAGAGAAACTATACTCGATTTGATACAGCAAGTTATCACGTAGATCATACACAGCCTCCTACTGGAACTAGGAAATTCAGAGCAGCTCTATAGGTTACACTGAAAATACAAAACTGAAAGGAAGAAGAGAAGCTGTTGTGTGAAATACACACTTCTCTGAAATGATAATTCAAGAAGAAAGGATGAACGCCCGGGATACAGAAAACTCACAAATTAATGGACAACACTGAGAAGAAAGGGAATCCCAGAACATTTATTGTGCTCATGTGAAACTATATCTAGATTAAGAAGTTGCTGTGTGAACAGACAAGGGAACAATGAAAACAAATGTGTGTGTCAGGGCTCTATCCTCTATCCATACCTATTCAATCTGTATGATGAGCAAATCATTTGAGAAGACGGATTTTACGAAGTCGAAAGTGGCATCCAGACCAGAGCAAGACTCATCAAGAACCTGTGTTACACAGATGACACAACCACCTTGCTTGCTGAAAGTGAAGTGGACTGGAGACACTTGCTGCAGAAGATCAAAGACTAACTATAGCCTTCAATATGGATTACAGCTCAACATCAAAAAAATGGAAACCCTCACCAATGGGCTAATGGCCAATACCATGATAACCTAATAAAAGACTACAGTTGTCAACAATTTCATCTTACTTGGATCCATAATCAACAACCTGGATACCAACTGTCAAGAAATCAAAAGATGTATTGCACTGAGCAAATCTGCTATCATGGACCCCTCCAAGGTGCTAAGGAGCAATAAAGGTCAGTTTAAAACTAAAGTGTACTTGATTCAAGCCACGTCCATCCGAAACTTGCTTGCTTGCTGAAACTGAGGAGTACTTACAACACTTGCTGCAGAAGATCAAAGACTATAGCCTTCAATATAGATTACCTCTCAATATCAAGAAAACACAAATCCTCACCACTGGGCTGACAAGCAGCATCATGACAGATAGAGAAAATAACAAAATTGTCAAAAAGTTCATCTTCATTAGATCCACAATTAACACTTTTGGTACCAGCAGAAAATAAGTCAAAAGATGTATTACATTGGGAAAGTCTGTTCAGGGACCTCTTCAAAGATGGGGCACAATGACATAAATGTAAAGACTGAGGTGTGCCTGATTCAAGCCATGGTCTTTCTAATCACCGGCTATGCATTTTAGAGTTGGACAATGAATAAGGATGACAGAAGAAAAACCCAATGCCTTTGAGTTATGGTATTAGAGAATAGTACTGAATATCCCATGGACTGCCAGAAGAACAGAGATACATCTTAGGGAAAGCGAAGCCAGAGTGTTCCTTATAGGTAAAGATGATGAAGTTTCACCTCACATACTCTGAGCATGTTGTTAGGAAGGGCCAGTGCCTGGAAAAGGATATTATGCTTGGAAAGGTAGAGGACCAGCCAAAGAGAGGAAGATCCTCAATGAGATGGATTGATACTGTGACTACAGCAATGGGCTCTGGTGTGTCAGAGATGATGACGATGGCACTGGACATGAGTTCAGATCTATTGTTCATAGGGATACTATGAGTCTTACTCAACCCTACTGCACCTATCGACAATGACCTTCATAAAGTTTATATTCTAGTTGGTAGCAGACAATAAAACCAAAACCCTCAAATTCACTGTTATGTAGTTGGTGTCTACTTACATCTACCCTCCATTGGTTTCAAGGCTGTAAATCTTAACTTGAGTGGAGAGAGATGTCATCTCTCTCCTAAGAATCACTGGAGGATTCAAGTCACTGGTTATTTGAACCACTGGAGGTGCACACTTTTTACATAAACAGCATTCCACCCCACCCCCAGAACTCTTAGTTATCTAAGTCAGCACTGACTATCTTAATGCCACCGAGTTCAACCCATTCAAAACCTGGTTTTCAGAGACTGTAAAGCACTCAAGAAGAGACTGCTCCTCATCAACATCATCAAAAGCAACAGGAGGAGTGGTACTATGTGCCTTTGGGTTGACAGCACAATTCCTTACCAGCAGGCTACCAGAGCTCTCTAAACAAGCACTGTTATGTGCTATCTAGCCTGAACCTACCCTAACTAACCTTCCAGAGGGTTTTCAGAAGCAGTAAATCGCACAGGAGGGGACTGCCCATCTTTCTCCTCGGGAACAGCTGGTGGATTCCCGGGGAGTACCCTTGGATTGAAGGCGCAGCTCCTTAGCACTAGATCACCAGTGCCGGACTAAAGGACCCCTTGGAGATGCAATGGTTTTGTGTTAACCAAAAGGTCAGCAGTTTGGATCCCACCAGCTGCTCCGAGGAGACACGACGTTAAAGATATCAGTAAAGACTGACAGCCTTAGAAACAGCGTGGGATGGTGCTACTTTATCACTGCGTTAGACTTCACTGGGTGGCAATAGCAAACATGATGAAAGAAGAGTTAGAAGAGAATGGTAAGCAGGGCTTTGTGCTCGGGAATGTAGGTCTATCTGAGAAGCTTTGACAGCTAAGAATTTAGCCTTGCAAAGGGTCATGAATCAAAGGCCATCCCGGTTTCAACATGATTGTCACAGGTCAGAGGTTCGGCACATACAGCAAGGTTAGATCAAACAAGAATCTGACATGCCCCAACACCCGCTGTCCGCGGTCGTCCTCATCGTTATCACCAAGACCCCTCATATTCAAACAAGGCTTCTATATGGGAACAAATGCCTTCCCTTTTCATCACAAATACGGAGCTAGGAACCGCAGCTCCGATAAGCCAAGCCCTGGTGTGCGAAGCCCCAGGTGCCACTCCTGCTCTCTCCCCTTTTCGTTACTCCCTGGACACCTAAAGAAGTCCCATGAACGGAGACGCGCAAGCAATGCGGGACCCCAGTTCCACGATCTCTTCCCCTCAGGTTATTAGAAAAGACATTTATCGCAGTCGCGTGTCCAGCCGACCTCCCCAAGGGCTCCCAAGGTTGTAGCCAGCCGGGACTATGACCTCACACGTGGCAAAAAAGAGACTTTTTCTCAAGGCCGACCGCAGAGGAGTTGAGTACCTGTCAGGAGGCGTGAAGAGAGAGTGTGTGAAGTTGCAGCCATAACGCACGTGTCTGACCGCTCTCTTAAAGCCCCGTGTCCTCTCCCCTCACCGGCTACTGGGCGCCGCCATCTTCCTCCCCCGCCCCAGTGCGAGCAGAGCTGCTTCCGGGTCGCTACTTCCGGCGGGCAGATCCCAGAGGAGAGCGGCGGTAACTTCGAATACCCGGGGCTGGGAAGCTGGGAGAGTGCTGGCTTCAAAGATCATAGCCCGGAGGCACTTAAGAGATAGCAGACATGCAGGGTGTTACAATGCCCCGAAGAAAAGTCAACGCGCAGAACGACAGGGGGTGCCTCCGGATCCTAGAAGGCTGACAAGCTGGATCCGATCCCAAAACTCCCTGGGAAGCGCAGGGGTTGGCTGTGCACTCTCCACTGTCACTGCCTTTCAGTGGGTTCCTTCTCATAGCGACCTTTCATCATGATTCCGAGACTGTAGCTCTTTACTCTAGAAGGCTGCACCTATTTCACCCCGGCGAGCAGCTGGTGTATTCTAATCACGGGGTTTTGGTTAACAGCCCTACTTTGACATTACCACGACTTTTAAATTACCACGACGTTTAAAATTATTTTGGGACACTTCCTGGTGACTGAGAAGCCATTGGCAGTTCAGTGTGGGGATTTTCACCTTGCATACGGGAGTCCTGAGTTTCATTACCAGTCTTCAGTAAAGGCTGCCTTTTTTAAAAATTTTTTTTGTTTGTTTTTCTTAAATTTTACTTTATATTGGTTTACTCACAAAATACATTGTGTCTCACACTATTCTTCATTCGTACTGTGTTTCATACAATCATTCCCATGCATTATCACCGTTGGACTTTGCCCGTCATTACCCAATCTTTTCAGGTCCCCACTGGATCCTTTCCATTTTCTTCACCCCCTTCCTCCACTCAATAAATCGTATAACCCTATGGTTTCACCCCGACCCATCCTCACCCCTCTGCTCTCACCCTTTCCCCCTCTTTATGTCCCCATACGTGTCTATCTTCTATTTAAAAATAATGAACTTATGCAATATTTGTCCTTAAGAGACTGAGTTAGTTCAGTAAGCATAATGCTCTCCGGTCTCTCCCAAGTTAGGTGTTATTGTTGTTATGTGCAATCGAGTCGCTTGCGACTTATAGCCACCCTATAGAGCTCTAAACGCTCTTCTATCCTGTGCCAACCTAGCCATCTCAAACACACTTATTCCCACTGCTCCAGTCACAGAATCGATCCATCTCATCGAAGGTCTTCCTCTCCTTCGCCGCCCCTCCACTCTGCTAAACATGATGTCCCTCTCCAAGAACCAGTTCCTCCTTGCAACATGCCCAAAATATGTCAGACGAAGCTTCAGAATCCTTGACTCCAAGGAGCATTCTGGCTTCACCTTCTCCAGGACAAACCTGTTTGCTCTCCTAGCAGTCCATGGTATATTCAACACTCTTGTAGTATTTTTCAAAATCGTTGTTCCTGAGTGCTTCATAGTATTCCTTTGTGTGCATGAACCACAATTTCTCAGTCCATTTAGTTGGTAGTTGGACATTTGGGCTGCTTCCATGGTCTTGCGATGGTGAATAGCACTGCAATGAATATTGTACAGCTCTCCTTTTGTGTCTCAGTTCTCATTTCCTTGGGGTATATTCCTAATAGTGGAATAGCTGGGTCATGTGGAGTTCCTAAGTTCAACTTTTTGAAGAAATGCCAAACTGTTCCAGAGTGGTTGCACCATTTTACAATCCCACCAACAGTGTGCGAGAGTTCCCACCAGTTCACATCCTCTTGAACATTTATTGCTTGTTGCCCTGCAAAACTTTCGGAGACTGGCTTTTTTTCTGTGATAGTAAACATTAGAAAAACTTTAGCAGCCCTCAGATGCATAGCAAGTGATTGAAAAGTCCGTGGCATCAGGCACACTCTATGCATCTGAGAGCTGGACAAAACCCAATGATGACAGAAGAAGGTTGAGTGTCTTTGAGTTGTGGTATTGAACAAGAGAGTATTAAGTATTCAATGGGCGGTCAAAGGAACAAACAGATGTCTTGGAGAAAGTACCGCCCAGAGTTCACTGTGAAGGCAAGATAGCAAAGCTTCCTCTCACAAACTTTGGGCATGTTGCTAGGAAACTATTCATTGGAGTGGGAAACCATGTTTGGAAAGATTAAATGTCACGAAAAGAGGGGAAAATGGATTGACACAGCCAGATGAATTGACTGTGATTTCAAGAATGACCTCAAGTGTGTCAGAGATTGCGAGGATGGCACAGGACAGGGCAGGGTTCAGATCTGTTGTTCATAGGGTCACTCTGAGGTGTACTCAACTCAGTGGTACCTAACAACAACATTGCTGAGCTAAACAGCCAGACAAAAATGGACTAGAAAGAAAGGCAAAGTGAAGTACTTAAGAAAATCACTCAAAGAAAGATACAGGGTGTATGTTCTCCATGAGCTGAGGAATTACTCCAAAATAATGGCAACTGGTGACCAAAATGCCAGGAATGTCCTTCTGGCAGCACAGCTACAGCTTGACCATGTCCTTGTGGAGTACCATAGAGTTAGAACTGACCCATAGCAGGCCCTCAAGCAGATTGTCAGAGACACAAAATCATGGAATTGCAGCACAGCTTCTTAACCACTAGGTCACCAAAGCTCCCTCAATGGGAACATCTGTGTACTATAGGCTGTCTGTCCCTGAGCCCCAACCAAGGGAACAGATGTATCAGAGTATATTGTGATGAAGGAGGAAGTACTGTGGTGTGTTAGGTACAGTCTAGTGAGCTCATAGTGATGGTGTGTACCACAGAATGAACACCTGCACCATCCTTAAAATCTCTGCTGTGCTTCAGGCCATTGTTGCAGTTAGTATGTGTAGAGGGGTTAAGATTTCTGGCTCTTGTGTGGGATCTGTATGCTCTACATCCTGGTCCTCTTTTTTTTAAAAAAGTATTAATTTTTTTTTTTGTGTGTGTACCATCAAATCAGATCTGACTGGTACAGGAGGAGATTGCCCCTCCTCCAGCAGAGCATCTGGTGGATTTGAACCATGTACCTCTGGTATTGCAGTGCAGCTTCTTGCCACTAGGCCACCAGAGCTCCCCATCCTGGACCTTTGATCTTGCATGAACAAATTGCATAAATCCTTGGAGCTGCAGTTTTCTGGCTTATACAATGGGTATAATAATAACACTTCTTTTTACAACATATCTTTTTTATAAGATGGTTGAAATAACTAGTAATTTCTTTAAAATAGGTAGCCTACTGCTTACTGATGTGTCAAATGCATCGCGATGGGAAAGTCTACTGTTAGGGACCTCTCTAAAGTACTCAGGAGCAACAGTGTCTCTCTGGAGACTAAGGTGCGCCTGATACAGGCCATGGTATTTGCAATCGCTTGTTATGCATCAGAGAGTTGGACAATGACTAGGGAGGACAGAAGGAGAGTGGATGCTTTTGAGCTGTGGTGCTGGAGAAGGGTACTGAATGTACCCTGGACTGCCAGGAAAACAAACAGATTTATCTTGGAGAGGATTAAACCAAGCTACTCCCTGGAGGCAAGGATTCTGGGGCTTCGTCTGACATACTTCGGACATGTTGCCAGGAGGGACGGGTCCTTGGAGAGGGACATCATGCTTGGGAGGGTTGAGGGACAACGCAGGAGGGGAAGACCCTCTATGAGATGGATTGATTCGGTGACTGGGGTAATCGGGATGGGTGTGTCAGAGGCGGTGCGGTTGGCGCAGGATAGAGCAGGGTTTAGAGCTGTTGTGCATAGGGTCGCTATGAGTCGGAAACGAATCGACGGCACATAATAACAACAACAACAACATGGTGAACAGTGTTTGATGGAGCTCCCCGGTTAAAACAAGCTTGGAAGCAGGAGTGGCATCCACTTCCGAAATAACTTGCCTCCGGAAACCCTATGAACGTGGAGATACGATGAAAGTTATACAAGTGTTCAGGTCTTTCGTTCATAGGGTCGCTATGAGTCATCTACAACTCGATGCACTTAACAACAACAACAATAGCTTCCTACTACTCATAGAAACCCTACCAAGCCCATTGCCACTGAGCCTGTTCCAACTCAGTGGTCCTGTGGAATAAGGTAGAACTTGCCCATTACTTTCTGGTGTGAGCATTTGCAATGTTTACAGAAGCAGATAGCTTCATCATATGTGTTGCTGGTGATACCTACAGCAGCACCATGAATGTTGTTGTTGTTGTCATTAGGTGCCATCAAGTGGAGTACAACTCTTAGCAACCCTGTGAACAACAGATCTGAACCCTGCCCTATCCTGTGCCACCCTTTTACGGCCTGTTATACTAGAGCCTATTGTGCCAATCACTGTGTCTGTCAGTCCACTTCGTTGAGGGTCTTCCTCTCTTTCACTGACCCTCCTCCTTTCCAAATACGATCTCTCTCTCCAAGGAATAGCCTCTCCTAGCAACATGCCTGAAATACATTAAGATGAAGCTTTATCATCTTTGCTTCCAAGGAGCACTCTGATTGCACATTCTACAAGACATATTTGTTTATTGTTTTGGCATCATGTATGTTGTTATTGTTGTTATGTGCCATCACGTTGCATGCAGCTTATAGCAACCCTATATACAACAGCCCTGAAACCTGCTTTATCCTGTGCCAACTTTACTGTCTCTGACACACCTACCCTCATTACCTCAGTCACTGTATCAGTCCATCTCATCGATGGTCTCCCTCTCTTTCCATCCATCCTTCCAGGCATGATGTCCCTCTCCAAGGACTGGAACGTGCCTCTTTGCAACATGCCCAAAGTATGTCAGACAAAGCCTCAGAATCCTTGCCTCCAAGGAGCAGCCTGGCTTCATCCTCTCTAGGACAAACCTGTTTGTCCTTCTGGCAGTACATGGTATATTCAATATTCTTCTCCAGCACCACAGCTTAAAGGTATCAATTCTCTTTTTATCATCCCTAGTCATTGTCTAACTCTTTGATGCATAGCAAACAATTACAAAGATCATGGCCTCGATCAGGCGCACCTTAGTTCT